GAAAGCCATGGTTTAATCAACCGCAGGATGTGTTTTACGACTTCGGAATTTAAGTTAAGTGATCCCGCCTTTTAAGCGAAATTTATAATTATTGTTTTTGGGAAAGAATACTTTCCAATTTTTTCACGATACCAACTAACTAATAGAAGGAATTTTTCAAATCCAAAAAAAAGTATTAGAGAATTTATCATATTGAGGATATAAAAAGTTTGGACCGAAACTTCATTTTATCCTGGCTATATTTGTTTTTCGCTGTCCCATGCATTTCATTGATGGCGTTGTATCATTCTTAATTTTTTTGTGTGGCGAAAAGAATCTTTAACTATTGTTTTCAGCATGTCGAAGAAGATTCTAAGCATTTTGAAACGCATGTAAATATTTTACCGGAACCATCATACATCAAGAAAAGCCAAGCATGAAGAAAGCCATGCTTTATTCAACGGTAGGATGTGTTTTACGACTTCGGAAGATCAAATTATCCCACCTTTCCAGCGGAATTTATAATAATTATTCACCTGTTCCGAACGTTGTATCCTATTAAACTGATGGATATTATGTACACATTGTGTCCAGTAAGATATTGGGAATTGTTTAATATGAAAATTTTTCTTAGTAGGGGGAGGGCGAGTAAAAAAAAAAGGACAAGACAAAGAAAACAAAGAACAGTGGGATGTTGTTTGGCCTCAAAAATTGCAAAAATCTACTGTCTGTTGTCCTGGCTCCGTCTTATAAATAGGCAGGCCCTTACCGCAAAAGAAAAGTCGGCATGTTATATTTGGGTATATATGGACCAGTCAAAATGCCCTATCATTAGTAATTACAAAGTATATCACAACAATTTCAAAGTTAGCAGCTTTTGGAAAACTGAAAAATTCATAAAAATCAGTCCGGCAGGTGCCGTTGGTGAAACGCCGGTGGACATTGAATTGTTTTATTACTGCATGGCACTTAGCGAACGAAAATAATCTTGAGGATTAACGATTAAAATGTTTATTCCACATGTCAGACAAAAAGTATATTACCCTCAGAAACAGCGCTACAGCGTCAATGAGCCAACGAGTCAAAGTTAACGCGAAGTCGGGTTCTTGTCTAACATAAATTGAAGTGATTTATGCATGGCTTGTAACCGATTTGGACCGATCGGCCCGCATCAGTTGATTGACTTGAAATGATTAAATCGTCCCTCTGTTATGTTGCTACTTACTGTGGCAACTATACGAGTTAAATACGATTAAATATTTCCCGTTTCCTTTAAGTCGTGCACTGAAAGATGACTTTAACAACTTTTTAGTCTACATTTTAGTATGTCGCGATGAACTCACCTTTCACTCCTAACCACAAAAGCATGAACTTCGATCTCCGAACCAAAATCCAAACTTGTAAGCCAAGGAAATTTCGTTTATCGTTGTAGCCATTGCCTAAGTGCATGGGAGTTACATATTGGTTAGTGCTGGATTAAGTTTTCGTTAGAATAAACTAAACGGCCTGATTTTAAATTCAAATTCCTCAATCTTGCTTATTTGTCAATTTCAGAAGAATATTTTACATAAATATCTAACAATAGCCCCGTTTACACTACACTCAATTTATCGGCACGGCACGGCTAAAATAGGTACCCGTGCCCAATTTTAATAGTGTTCAGGCTACCAAAACAAAGGCCGGGCACGAATGAAATGGGCACGGGTGCTCATTTTAGCCGTGCCGTGCCGATAAATCGAGTGTAGTGTAAACGGGGCTAATATGATTGCTTAGGGACGGTGAGGTATTGAAATAAGACTCCTTCAAACAAAACAAGCACAATGTCATGCTATTGTTAGGATGACTGCAGGACTACCAGGATCAGTTAATTACTCACCTAATTACCTCAAAGTCGTAGGTAGGGTTTGAACCCTTCTGATTACCTTCTGTATACGCTTTCTTACATTGTAAAATATAGCGAGTTTCCTGTTTCGTTAGGATTGTTCAAAACAGAGTTCAGGCCTAGTTTAAACGACTTATTTTGGTCCCGTCGAATGCAATTCAAACAATATAGATAGTGAGATGATGAAACTTAATGAGGTTTATATCTTCTCACTACCTATACAGGGTGTCTCAAGAAAAAACGCAACCACTTAAACATGCAAGAATATTAATATTGTTCGGGTTTGCACCATAGTTCAGCTAAAATGACTTTTAGCTTTTAGCATTGTAAATGAGGGATTAAGAGCCATTTTCAATTCCCAGATGTGCTTATCTATTGCGCTTTAGAGCTGTATTAATGTCATGCATATTTAAGTGGTTGCTTTTTTTTGGGACACCCTGTACACAATTGGAGTGCCCGGCACCGGGGCGCAAAGTCAAAACTGGCTCATAAAACATACTGAGCGCAGTGCCCTTGTTGAATACCGTACCCAATTTCATTTGAAAGCGTCATGATAGGTGTCGGTGTCAGAAAAGTAATGAGCACCACCTTGAAAGACATCAGAAAGGTAACGGGCACCATGCAGCGCGCATAACACCGTATCCTCGTGGAAGAAATACATCTTATTTTGTATAAGTGATAAATAACTGCGATCTCACAATCAGTGAAGAACGTTAGTTGCCCAAATTTAGGTAAATAACACAGTTATTAGAGGAGACTGCGGTGTCGTTTGATTGTTCACGGCAAAATAAAAAGCAAAATATCACACAATTTACCTGGATCGCGGTATAGCCATTATCCAAATCGAATACTTATTTCGGTTATTCGGTTGTATTTAGCCACCAAGTTAAGTCAAATTGTTAACATTGCAGCAGTGTATAAGTATCTACTTAAAATATAGTTTACTTCACGGTTGGCAGGTATGTACGATTTTTATGCACGAGTTGTGAAGGATGGAAAAACGAACGAGTGAGCGTAGCGAACGAGTGAGTTTGCGATCCTTAACAACGAGTTTGCTATCCAATGAAAGCTCCGTATTACCATCTCATGCATTGTATTCTTTACCCCAATAATGATCTGATCGATTATTTGAATACCAATTGTGATGAAACTAATTAGTATTCATTAACTTCGATAGAAGTCTAATAAGTCTAAAAAAAAACCCTATTTTAAAGCCTAGCGCACACTGGTGCACCTAACACGCACACATGTCACTCGTGACGATTGTCACCTGCACATATTCCTCGTCTGCGGGGACCAAATTGAGATATTCTGTCATTCGTGTCGTAATATCCAATTATCAAACATGTTTGATATTTTCTATCACGCGTGACAAATGCGCCAAGTGTGCGCTGAACAAATGCGATTAAAACATGGAGCAAGGAATATGTAAATGTGAAATATACAATAAACAAACTAAACATGGAGTATGAAAATGACTATTATTTGTCTGAAGACGAAGAAATTATTAAGTAGATCTCTGTTTTTGAGATCTCGCGAACGTACATTGTAAATACACGGATATTCGGGATATATGTCTACCAGTTTGTCTTCTAAAATGGCTTCTGCAACCAGTTCACGGCGTTGTTCCTTCATACTTTTAAGGTTATTTATTGTATTTTACATTTGCATATTCCTTGCTGCATGTTTTAATCACATTTGTTCAGCGCACACTTGGCGCATTTGTCACGCGTGATAGAAAATATCAAACATGTTTGAAAATTGGATATTACGACACGAATGACAGAATATCTCAATTTGGTCTCCGCAGACGAGGAATATGTGCAGGTGACAATCGTCACGAGTGACGTGTGTGCGTGCTAAGTGCACCAGTGTGCGCTAGGCTTAACTTGTCGCGGCGCGACAAGTCTTTGGACGCGGAGCGCCTGCGAGGGTACTAATTCCGCTCGGAGATTAGGAATTACACCCGGAACCCAGTAGAACATAGGCGAAAGCTAGAACATAGGCCAAAGTTGTCCAAATTCTATGTCATGGACGGTCGACGTTGGGTGGTTTTGTAAGTTATGCGCATGCGCAAGTAACGTCTGGTAATCAACGAACGTTCTGATTAACTAAGACAGAAAGTTTGTATTTCAATCAGAACGTCAGCAATTTAACTGTCATTTCGTAAACATTTTTGTAAAAGCGTTTCATAAACTTTGTGCAAAGAAAGTAAAACGAGAAGAAACAAGATATATGAAGCATGACAGTTAGCAAAGATGAACGTGGATACGGTCAATACAAAGCCGTGTAAGAGGAATAATTCATAATCTGCAAGCTTATAAATGTTTTCAAAGACAAAGGGTACGTGTTTACTTTGTTTATTTCGTATTTGTTTCGCGGTAAGAATGAGTCGTATTTGTATACTTTTCAGCTTTGTATGCTGTTTATTTGTTAAATTTTCAGTTTTTTATGCAAACGCATAAACCTGTGAAGGGCTATTACACCTTTGCTTTAACTTTAAAAAGTGTTTTCGAAAGTGTAATTTGAATTTTGGTATAAAAAATACACACTATATTTGTAAAGTATACTGAAACTTTTAGCCGCCGGCGTCGACTGCAGTTACAGAATAAAATAACATTTGAAGTTTTTTCTTTGTCTGTGAAGATTTTGTACTGTTTTAATCGTTTGAAACTTCGATTTTAAACCGTTATTTAATTTCTGGCATGGTATAATGCAGCAAAATTGAACGGGCAATGTTTACACTAGCTTTATGATTATTTTTGTATTGAATGATGGAAACATTAGCTATAATAATTTATACTCGGTAAAATATAATAAGACTGATTTGAGTTTTGTGTCATTTCATAATATAAGTTTAGGTCAGGTTAACTCAGGAAATTGTGTACTTGGTTTGAAATAGCGAGGGGTTGTTTCATGCATGTATTTCTAGTACATATTACAGAGATCAATTTGACCGGATTTAAATCAGGGGATTGGGCAGAATGTTCTTACTCGCCGTTAAATAGCTAATTTCAGCCAGGGCGACCAAAAAAGTGAGACGAAAATAGCCGATGAATTTATAGGAAAAATAATATTGGGCTAGTCGGAAATGTAAAAAAAGATGATGAATTAATGCAATATTTTTATATGCAGTGCAACGACAATAAATAAGTGCATGGAGAGAGTGCTACTTTTAAAAACGTAAAAACAAACTATTGTTGCCTATATATAAAAGTGCACGTGATCTAAACCCAGAAATTGTTTGAAAAACATGCTATTAAACATGTTGGAGCATGTCCCGCCAAATCTGATATTTTAATCCCTGGGTCATGTCAGTCAGTAGCAGTTTCAGACATTCAGTCGCGGTTTATATATGCTTAATTAATTTAACTTTGCATGTTTAGACGTAGTCTGCTTTTCATTTACTTCCAGATGGATTCCGTCCAATAAACAGTGCCTTCTAAATATTACATCCGACGAAAATTCTTCTTAAAATACACGTTCAACAGGTATCTTGGATTATCCAACGCTGCTTGCACTGGTTATCAATGCACGGTCTACATATGCAAGGAAATTAAAAAATGAACGTATAAGAGCTCATTAAATAGCTTTCAAAACCTTGAATCGTACTAGCTGCATGCATGGGAATATTTTTCGAGACGAATTTTCGAGTGGTAGAAAATTGTCTTGATTTTGTCTGTCAGTTGCATTTCCTGAGACAAAATATTTAATTTTTTTTCAATTGGTCAAATAAGGTAATTTTTTTACGAAAGCATGGAAATATTTTTTCGTTAGCGATGTCTCTTTTAGGACAAGTTTATACTTACTGCGGATATCTTTCTTGTCCATAGCAAGATTAATTCGTCGTCTTTCGTCACGGATTTTCTTTTCCTTTGAGAAAGCTTCATGGAACTATATCACAAATATATACTGAGGTTACTTGAAAGTTGTACATAGCCGACGATACACACTAAAGCCGTGTTTACACGAAGGGGCTGACATTTACCTGACATTTACCCGTACCTGAGAAGTACCTAACCAAGTTTTACAGGATGTGTTTACACCAGTTACCTAACGGGACTTATATACATACACGCAACATAAAGTACTTTGAGAAGAGTATTAAAATATGCTTGCAGTTCTTTGTTTGTTTATTTCGTACAAACTACAAAGCCTCGTAAAAGAATACGACGTAGTGATTACTGGGATCACTGGCAAACAACGATTTCATGCAAAATTAAAAAAATATATGATATAACTTATCCGCAAGTTCCGAAATTCGGAATGTAGCTAATTATCAACTCTGAATTTCCCCCTAATTTTTTCAAAATCGCGCTAAAATTTCAAGACCGCTAAATGCTGACATCAAAGACTCGAATTTACGTTTGTTGTCATGGAAATTAGCTTCGATCACACTTGGGTTAATGAAAATGTGTTTACACCGCAAGACTGACCCGAGGCTTACCTAGGACTTATTTAATGCCATGTTTTCAGGCCACCTCTAATGCTTGGCCTGAAATCATGGTCTTAGGTCGGTCCTAGGTGTGTCTTAAGTCAGTCCTAGTGCGTTTACACTACAGGACTAACTGCTTAAGTTAGGTCTTAGGTCAGGTATAGGTCTCTAGTGTAAACACTGCTTAAGTCTTACTCTAGTCATTCACAACTCCCTTGCGCCCCACCGAACGCAATCTAGCAGTTTAATCACAAGTCGAACAATTACACGACACACGACTTAAAATTGGAACAACATTTAAGTTTTACTTTCAGTTACGTTGTCGTACAATCATCATGCGCAGGGGCGTATGGAGCGGGGATGGGGGAGGTGATACCCCACGTTTCTTTGCAAAATGGTCGGTTATAAAATGCGGAGTTGATGGTGGTCGGTTTTTAAACAATGGCAATCGGTAATTTTTGAATTTATGGCATCAAGTACGCCGCCACAAAAGTGCGAACAAACAGCATAGCGTTGAGCAATGAGCAAAATGTGAAAGATGGAAATATGGCCCTTGGAGGAAATAAGAGTGAAAGAACCAGCTGGTCGATAGGCGTATAATTGCAAACCGGTAAATGTACGGCCATATGCTTGCGATTTAGCATCAAATGTCGTATAACAACTGCCTAAAATAGACAAAACACTTCTCGACGTTTCGACCTGAGGGCCTTCGTATATATATATATATATATATATATATATATATATATATATATATATATATATATATATATATATATATATATATATATTAATATATATATATATGCGATGATTTTATATTCATTCTATGCATGTGTTTGATAGCAACCATTATGTCATGAAATGAAACTTATATAGCACAACACCGCAGAAATTGGTGTTTATGAAGTTTTAAGTATGAAAATCCGAATACTGGTTCACATTGTGCATTGCTGAGTCACTATCAAAGAGAAAACTATTGAATAACTTCAAAAAGTTCGGTTTTTCTTCCGAATACGCATTCTACAATTTTTTGACAGCTCATCATGCACATCTAACAGCTGTGAAGTGGCCATTTTTAGGCTTAAAGTATACACAGCAAAAAATCAATTTCTTAATTTAAGAAAAAAAAACTTATATTAAGATTTTTTTTCTTATTTTGAGAAAAAAAATCTTGGGAGAATGGTAAGAAATATTTTCTAATGAAATTTCTTAAGATATTTTTTCTTTAGAATTTTTTTCTTAAATCTAGAAAAATGTTCTTAAGAAATACTTGGGAAGAAATTTTTTCTTAAGATCTCCCAAGAAAATTTTTTTTGAGAAACTTTTTCTTAAAATTTTTTCTCACTTTGAGGAAAAAACAAGAAATTTTTTCTTGGATTTCTATGATTCTTTTTTCATCATGCATATCAATTTTCTTAAAATAAGTACGATCAACTGTGGATTTATTATTTATAAAATGCAAGCAATCATGCATTAACATTCTCTTCATAAACAAAGGACACCCAATGCTTTTCATATATAATTCTATATTCATAGAAACTCTGACATGATATTTTGTTATAAGTAAGAATGTAATGTAAATTTACTAAAATATTCATGAGTCATAATATAGAATACACAGCAGACATTAATACATGAGAATTATAGGCCCTACATGATTATTTAGAAATACAGAGAAATGATTATATATAATATTGCACCACGGCTTTGAAGGTTTTGTATTTGTCCAGTGTTTATATGACATGTTTTTAAATATCACTTATTGCAGTACAGATCAATTATTGCAAAAGGATTTTTGTGGTGCTTAAGATCAGATGAGACATCATCAGAAAAATTTGAGAGTAAATAATTTAAAAATTGGTGTGAAGTAAATCCTAAGTTCACACTTAACTTAAAATAAAACTTTGCAATCATGTTAGGAATTGAGTACATCAAACAAAAAATACTGGTAAATGATAATTTAACTACTCTGGGGAATTTTAAGCTATTCTTTAGCTATCGCTTGCAAGCAATACCTGCATCTTTAAGAAAACTACTTTAAGACCATTATCAAACACACCCATTCTACACTGCTTTTCTACCTCCCTATGATAGTTTAAATTCCAATTAATTCACCATGAAACTGCATGTAATTAGTTCAAACAATATATAGATAGAGGCCTTATCCAATGAAATCAAATGGTGTTAAATCCAAAAATTGTCCCTAACAAAATATGTATGATATAGGCAGACTCTGATGCACAATTTATACCCTTTGGAACAGTCGCAACTCTACTGTGGAGAAGCACTGTTACATTTAATAACCCCTCTGGATTTAGTATCAATCTGAAAATACAACTCAACTCTAATCCTACATTTCAAACAAAGACATTAGAAACACTGCCATATGCTGCTCCTTAGTTATATATATTTATATATATATATATATATATATATCACAACATTGGACTATTCTATGTTCCTCCTCTGAGGTATTCTAGGCCATAATTGCTGAGGAATTCTAAGGTATTGTTTAGCTATCCCTGCTATAGCCAATAACATGGAAAATCATAGCGCAAATCATTGAACGATGAAAAAAGACCTAAATACAATTCTTGATCTAAAATAGGGTGGAATAAAGGCTAACGAAGGCTAACAAATAAAGGCTTAAACGTTGTATATAATAACACACTCGATCAGCATGTTGGCATATGACATCATGAAACATCAACTCACCTTATGAAATACCACAAATTTGCGCCGATATAGTGTATATTTTCTCACATCCTAAACGTCCAAATCTTTATCGGTAATATATAAAGTTAATAACAAGATTCAAATGCCATATCCGGCATAAAAAACAATATTTCTTTAATATGCGTTAATAGCGTTATAGGTTGTTTCGTTAAGTATTCAAATTTCCCTCGTGGTCTACGCTCGAAAGGCATGATGGGATAAATGGAATAATCAGGCTCTGCGTCAGGCTGGACTATACAATTATCAGTATTAAACCTTTGAATGCTTTGAATTATCTCACGCTGGATTTCTGTAAATGAAAACAGTATTTTGCAAACATTATATTATGACTTTGTTCTATTTTAACAGTTCTTGACCGAATATGTCACGCCATCCTTGTAAAGTGCAAGTAAGAAAAGCTTCATTGTTGACTAGGAAGTCAACAATGACTTCCTAGTCATTGTTGACAAAGTCAACAAACTTCAACAATAAGGAACATTTGAAACACAAGTAATTTTGAAGTTTACTCTCAGCTGAAATTCTTCAAATTTAATGCGAAGAGCATTTTCTTAAGAATACATATTTCTTATAACAAGAAATTGATATCTCAATATTTTCTTAATAAGAAAACACTTTCTCATTTTAAGAAAAACATTTTCTTATGATAAGAAAGTGATATCTCTGATATTTTCTCGAGAAATAATTTTCTTATTTCAAGAAAATGTTTTCTCAAATTAAGAAGAAAAAAATCTTAAGAAAATATTTTCTCAAAATAAGAAAATTATTTCTTGAAACAAGTAAATATTTTCTTAAAACAAGAAAATTCAATTTCTTAAGAAATTCATACACAAGGTTATTAATTCAGATGATTCGTTTTTGCCGTGTGCACTGAAGCTTTAAATCTTTTGTGCAAGACATATTTTGTTGATAATCTATAAATGTTTTTCTCATCAAGTTTGAAGCCTAAGTATTGAGAATTGCGGCTAAGTATTTTTTAATTTTATCAATTTCCGCGGTGTCATATAGCACACCATGCCGGGCAGCCCTCGCCACTTATTTCTAAAAAAATTATTTTTCGATGTCGACTTATATTTATTTGTAATAATTTCTTATTCAAACAATTTGCTTGGAAAAAGAAATAGTATAAACATACCTTTTTATTTAGAAGCACAAAAAAAACAAATATCATCAGTCCTTGTATCGAGTTGAATATTGCGAATAAATACTTAAACGCAATTGTATCTCGGTTGAATACCAGCAAAGCAAACACCCACGTCAATCCAAGAACTGGTAGAAGAGTGCCTGAACCTATCAGACCCTTTCTTGTCCTTCTTAGCTTGTTGTCAGGGTCTGAAAGAGTTGTTCTTACTTCGCTGGTCGATAAAGCTTTTCGTAAGGCAAGAACAAAAACAAAAAGGTTGATCTAAAGCGAGAATTTTAGCGACAAATTAAAAATAGAAGTATTTAAAAACAAATGCCATATTGACTTCCTTTTGGGTCATGCCCCATTTATAGCTAAGGCGTTCAAGGCCGGCGCACATTAGAGCTATGTGCTTAGCAAAAAGTCATTCGTGGCAATTGGCGTAAGCCAGTTGCTCTCATGTGCGGGCGACTTTTCAGGCTACTTTGGTCATTCGTGCCACTTACGGCAAATATCTAGCATGTTTGATAATTTCTGCCTTGCGTGCTGAAATCTTTCCGTGTGCAGCAAACTGAAAGCTATCTGCTTATGGATCGTCTTAACAGAGCATTGCGCAATATACGAAAGTATACATGCAAGATAACGGACAGATTGGAAAAACAAAATTATGGATGGAAGTGAAGACGAAGAGGTTTTGTTATTTTTGTTGCTGTTGCGTCGGACTAGACTAGACTTCGGCTTTAAACACCGTTATCCAAGTGCTATTAATTATATTACCTGTTTGAGAAAGCTTACTAGTTATTTCTGCAATAGCGGATTCCCTTTTCTCTCTGTTTCTAAAATCTGTAGAATTCACATCGTATAAACACCTGTATTTTGGCCAAAGATCGACCAGTATGTCTTCTAATGTGGCCTTAGCCACCAATTCGTCTTGCTTTGTTTGCACCGCTAACTTCGATGTTTACTTTCGTATTACGCATGCTCTGTCAAGACAATCCATAAGCAGTCGACAATCGATATTTGCCGTAAGTGGCACGAATGACCAAACTCGCCCGAAAAGTCGCCCGCACACGAGAGCAACATGCTTACGCCAAATGCCACGAATGACTTTTTGCTAAGCACATAGCTCTAGTGCGCCGGCCTTCAGTGCTAAAGAAGGGACGCGGAGAAAGCGGTGGGGCCTTTTTAAACTATTCTATATTCTTTTTAAACTATTACCAAAAAATTCAAAGATTTAAATTTATGAAATAAAATTGGCGTTTTTGAAGACAGTTTTTAGGGACTCATCCAAAAACAACGTATTGAACTAAACTAGACAATATCTGAATTTGAGACACCTAAAACAAATCTGAGTTTGCCAAAATCTTATATATTACCAACAAATGATAAATTGGGAAGTTGAATTTCAGACATCTAAAACGGCTCTAATCTGCCAAGATCGTAATCAGATCAAGATCGTAAACAAATGATAAATTGGGAAGATGAATTTTAGACATCTGAAACGGCTCTAATCTGCCAAGATCGACATCAGAAGTGATCGACATCAGATTATCACATATTTCTAAATTTTTTAAATATATAGTGCATACATCTTACACCGTGATCTTACCAGAAGTATTATTCCTATAGTTGCAATAAAAGTCCAGAATAACACTCCACCAGCACGGCACCAACACCCTTGTTTTGATTTAAAGTCAATGCGATCATTCAACCCAACCAACAGCGCCACAATGAAAACTGGAAAACCTATGGACGATATTAACTAACAATCACATTTCTTTAAGCATATCTGAGCTTTAGCTATGCGTGCTGTGTTTACCGTTTCAGCCACAGGTATTAGAATGATAAGAAATAAAAATGTTTTAACTTTTAAATGCCTGTTTGCGTGTTTTGTTTCACAGAATTTCCTACCAAATACTTAATCCCCTTTATTGATAAGAATGGACAGTAGTTGTATTAATATCAAATGAATATGCTATGCTACTTACCCCAACCTATTGCATAAAATGTCTTCATATATCTTCCACCCAAGTTCAAACTACCGTAAACATGCGTTAGTTTAAGGTAGATAACAATTCCCTGGCATAGCATCCATCCAAATAGGGCTAGTACTGAGAGATACAGCAAAATAGAAACTGTTATACAAAATAACTAAAGGAAAGAAAGAAAAAAAGGTTGAGAATGAGTTAAATTTTAGTGGGTATGATAGAATTAATGCGATGCAAAGTGCTTATTGTAAACCTCATTTTTGCGTGCAGGTCCGGCAAGAACAGCAAGGATATCCGTCATTCCAATAGCGGCACATAGATTCATCAACACTTTAGAGGGAACTTTGCTGTCGGCTATTTTATGAAGTCTCTTCCACAGCACTGCGTGTGCCAATACAGTCAAAATTACACCAACAAGTGATAAGGAACAACCAATCGTGGATATAATTTCCAAGCTTTCCTGTTCAGCTTTACTTAACTATGGAAGAAAAAATGTACCAGAAATTTCAAGGTTAAGAAAATTTTGTTGAATATAGGAGTAAATTTATTGCTTAAAATCGTTACCAAATCTCTTTCCCAAGTGTCCATGGTGGCGAAGGCCGTGAGATGGTCACATTCGCATATCAAGTCGTTATCTAATGAATCAACTCTTTTACATCCATCCGATTTCCACAAGTTATCGTGTAATTCAGGTTTCCAATATACGCAACTCTTTGAGTCGTTCTAAGATAAAATATTCCATTGATGGGATTCATGGTTTATATCATCCTAGATTTACAATAATGACAACAATTCATTTTGTCCGAGATAAATGGTCAGATTTTTTGAACAAGCAAACAAAATTGTTTTAACCTTAATACAAATATACTGTTTACAACTACATATTCAGTGCATAATATTCGGGTTGACGCATTCAAAAAGAATGTTATTTAATTTTGACTTATTCACCGTTTAAGCTAAGCGGGCTTGACACAACCGGCCACAGAATATGATTAACTAACCACCCCCTGGTGGCACACTACCTTCATTACAAATACGTTTTCTTTCCAATGGATGCGAACCGGCTCTTTGAATGGAATCCTAGTTGCCTCAGGTCGAACACTTGCACTGATTATCCTGCTCTTAATTGCATAATTATTACCATCGTAAATATTCTTCGTCAAAAATGAATTTAGTGTCTTATACCATACGACAACAACCACAGCACCTGAATTCTTAGGAAGTGCATCTCGTGAGATATTGAAAGATGCATTTGGGAAATTGAAAAGTCGGTCCTGAGGTGGAAATTCTGAGGAATTCATGTAATTAACACGTAGTTGTACGTTGGAAAAATTTTGAAATATATGGGAGGTATTTTTGTTTTTTAGGATATTCCCGCTTTGAACGCCATATTTTTGCAAAGTTACCACCAGTTTGCGGGCCTCTTTACCGTCCTATAAAAGAGAATAAAGGTTTAAAATGCATGGTATCATAAGGATGTGGGATAGAATGTAGGATGATTATAGAAGTCTATAACCTCGTTACAATACAGTCAATTTATCGGCACGACACAGCTAAAATGGGTACCATGCCCGATTCATCCGTGGGCGGCCTAATAAAATTTGGCACGGGTACCGATTTCAACCGTGTCGTACCAAAAAATGAATGTAGTGTAAACGGGGCGTATGACTCTGCGATATATGTTCCTAGTAATATCACATGATTAAAATTTCCGAATGATATGAAAGAACGATACTATTTAAACACGAACAGTTGAAGAATGATGTGACAGGATACAAGGTGGGTATGGATTATGGACACAATTGAAAAAAACATTAGACAAAAAATAATTCGCAATTTAAAGGTAAAATTAGTTCTATATTAATTCCATACCGTCATATTTCTCCACGATTTTTCGTATCTAACATCCAGTATATTATTTGCAGGAACCATAATGTTGATACTGTCATCAGAAATATTAAAGTCGACGATTTTTTGAAGGATTTCAACTGTTTCAGTAAGAGTTTCTTGGTCTAACACTTCTTCTTGGTCTTCATAAGCTGTTATTTTTGATAATTCGTCGATAATAATTGGCGCGCAGCTTCTTTGGGTTGTGATATTCTTTTCAAATAGTCGATCCACCTGGAAATTAAAAAAAGACCATTGCGCACTCGTGAGCAAAATTTCTGCTTTAAATAGCAAAATTTTCGTTTACAAAATGCATTTTTAATGCTGCTAAAGAAATAACGACTAGTCAAGTTTATTTTTTTGTTTCGGAACAAAATAAGGAAATTTTAAATCTGGCGATTGAAGTTTTGTTTTATACATCATACATCTTAATAACAAATAGATAACATTGATTTGAACTGTTGTTTGTTAAGTTATATAGATATACGGTATGACGTCGTTTGTGATAAGATCAAAACAAAGTGGCCACGAGCCGCGTGGCGAAAAAGCTCCGAAATGAAACAGGCAAATAGTTTCTGCAGCACTTGGAAAATTGTAAAATCGAAGTGGAAATGATGCAGATATCACGCGTACATGATCTATATGATAGGCGAAATGCTATTAGCTAGCTTAAGACACGTGCTAAAATGTGATTGGCTGCCAAAATATAAACAAGCGGTGACTGATCAAATTCCTTAAGATTTTCTTTAAGGTCATATACCGTGCGTCTATCCTGTTAACCTGCGAATGAATTAGTGCTGCAGACTCTATTAAACAATCTCATCGTGTTGCTGGTTTAAATCATTAGGCACATAATATTATGGTTTTACAAAATAAAAGGCGATGCAAGACACGGAAAAATATAATCAATTCCATTTTAATATCTTTATCAAAAATTTTAATATCTTTTTCGAGTGGAACTGTGGTCATAGAATAGTTCGATGTGATTGAGATCACACAATGTGTTCGAGTGTGAGTGAGCTCTTTCATCGAGGGAATCGTACGGTGTAGAAAGATTAACTTGCCTCATCGTGAAGTTGTCTCAGTCTTTCATTCTTGCTTGTATTAAATGATTCTATCAATTCAGATAAACAGATTTAAAGGTAGCAAAATATTATTTCCTCAATCTTTTGCTGTCTTCCTCTAACAGTTAATATTCTATAATACTGGTTTCTGCTGAATGATGAAAGTCGTATAACGTTTGCAAATTGCAATTCAATTTTTAAGAGATGAAAATTATTGAAGAGTTATAAAAATGCAAATGCAAGATACATCCATGAAGTGTAAGAAACACAAGTTTCGTGGTTGTGAAATTTACATATTTGTAAATTAGAATTGCATTGCAAGTTCCAAGAAAAACTCCACCGTGTTACAGTGCCTTAAGGTGGCTCGATACAATTTTTCGAAATTTTTAGATGTACTTTTTAAACAGGGATATTAAGCACCTAAATATTTCACTATAAGGCTAAAAGTTAATATACTTTGCAGGAAACATATATAGCAGGGCAGGGCAGTAGTCCTGAGCAGGGCCGCCCAGGGAGAGGGGAGGTGGCATTTTGCCTTGGGCCCTGAGCTCCAGGGTTGCAAGGGCTTCCCAAAAGCTACAAGAATAAAATTCAAATATTATTGGAAGTGTATAGCCTTCCTTCTTTTTTATAGTTTAGGTAATGCGATATATACTAGAAATACATGCATGCAGCAACCCCTCGCTATTTCAAACCAAGTACACAATTTCCTGAGTTAACCTGACCTAAACTTATATTATGAAATGACAAAAAACTCAAATCAGTCTTAATATTTTACCGAGTATATGTGACCCTCCACGGGAAAACCAACATTAACGGTTGAAAAAACGGGCTGAAATACCGTTTGCTATCCGTTTTCTATCCGTGAAAATCAAAAACGGTTGCCGTTTAAAAATTTTAAACGCCCGTTTAAATTTTATTGCTTGGCGTTTAAACGGTTTGTTCAAAACGTGAAAACGTTTTCATCGATCCGTGAAAACGTTTTGAGCGATCCGTGAAAACATTTCGGTAGAGCTGTGAAAACGTTTTGCTTTGGCCGTAAAAACGTTTTGGTAAAACCGTGAAAACGTTTTGGTAGAGCCGTGAAAACGTTTAAATAAAACCGTGAAAATGTTTTATCACAGACGTAAACATGCAGGTTTCACCTTTCACCTATATAACCAGTGTAACGTTTCCGCTAGCGTGCAATTAAATATTTCCATCAAACAGTCGGGACGACCTTGTAAAGTTAATCGTATAAAACTATATAAAATGTAATAAAATGTTTATATATCAGAGGCAAGCAAAATGGGTCGAACACCAAAGTGAGATATCCCTATATATCACTGATTACAACAAATCTAGTTTAGGTTTATAATGCTTATTAAAGAAGTATGATTGATTATATGTCTATCTTTTAATAAAGTATTATCACAGAAGCGAAGACACAGCCGCCCTTGATGATTTGCCAAATTGCACTGCCAGAAACCCATCACCTGGGTCAACAGGCCCCAAAATGCTTTTTCGCAATGATAAATGTACCTATTTCTATAGTGCGTGTGAGAAAACATATAGTTTAAAATTTATTACAGCAATTAAATTCTATACACATACTAAGCAACATATCTGAGATGCAAATATAATTCAACTAATTATAACGAGAGATATCTGGTATTTGTTATGCAAATACTTATATAGATATAATAAATACGCACATTCACGATCCATTTTGGCAAAAACAACTAATTAATGCGTTATAGGATCGTGTGCGAGTTTCCTGTTATATTATATCAACTTTTATATACGCTATATTACACATTTTCACAATATTTTCAACAAAGTGCATTTAACCAATCTTCGCCAGTGCGTGTCGAAGTTTGAAAATGGGTTGGTAAAAAATCACGATCGGTATATTATATAAAATCGCCGTTTTTCTGCCATATCGATCGCTTTTTAGACTAGTTATATATGCTTTCATTTTGAGAACACACGACTACACAGTCATAATAGCTTATGCTGTATAATCAGATTATTCTAATCCGTACTTAAAATTGACGCAATATTTATGTATGTTATTGAAAAGATTTGACCTCTGTAGGAAAAATATGAGCTCTATGTCAAATCTTACTTAACTAAGAATTCTTGGTGGTCACAAAATATCTCTAAATATTTCATAATGAAATACTTTATCTCCTTCCATATTTTAGAGCATCTGCCAAAACTTTAACAGTAGAATATAGCTAGCATGTTGTCTGAATAATATTATACGCTATCTGCGCTACACTGCATGAAAAAAAGTTTTTGTTAGTTGAATATGGGATCGAAGGCCTGCGTTCTGTAATCCAAACGTCAAGATTTCCGCCCTGAAAAGCAACTTAATACTCCATCCCGGCGCAAAGGTGCACAATTTTTTAGCCAAAACATATAGCAATTACATATACTGCCCTTATAGAAACAGCGGATCGAAACTGTCAAAAATGCGCACAATTTTTTCTGCAAAGCATATAGCAGTGCAGTCGCCCATATAGACGCGACAATCCCAAACGCACGCACAGGGGAGTTTATACTCACCATTATAACAAAAATCAATCCACATCATCTTCGAGACATCTAATTGTGACACAATTTGTGCCCCCTGCCTACGATTACCCGGCAAGCAAGACTTCTCCAGAAACATTATGTGTTGATGCATAAAATGTATCTACTGACTCTCGTGTCTGGAAAAATCTTATTTGCCTGTCCTGCCTGTCTCAGCTTAGGAATTAATAAGGTTGCATCTACACACAAATTACTTAGGAATTTGCATGCAATTTTTGGTTAAGAAAAATTTCTGGTGTTTGAGTGCAGATGCACCTATTTATGTTATCTCAGTTTTGTGACCACCCAATTAAAGTACTCAAACCTCTTTGAACCTCTGGCAAACGATGTTCGATTTTACAATGTTCGACTGAGCCAAAGTGATCTTGACCAAACAGCAACTTTCTTTTGTCATATAGTCTACAAAAATTTCATATAAGCCTTAGTGCGCACTTAACAAATAAATATATATGCACACACTTAACAAATAAATATATATGCACACAAGGCAAAAAAAATAAAGTTTTGATCGAGCCAACAGTAATACGAAATCTGATGATTCATGATTTCATCGATAGGGCCTGATTTCTATGCTTGACGGGAATTATTTCCAAGCGCGACTGATGCATAAAGTATTTTTAATCAAACATGCCTTATATCAAACACTACAGTCTAGAAATTAATCAATATGTGTTCATACCTTTATATGCACGTGTTAAAACACCTCGACATATCCATAGATTTGAATATCCAGCAAATATTTGGGATAGGACTTCGCGAAATTATTGGTAAAGATCTTTACCCGCGTGCTTATGAACTTGATTGGCGCCATTTCATATTTGTTCACTTCGCCGATCCCGTGCGCCGATCTATATAGCTGGCAACAGCCTTCAAAGCGCAAATGTGCAATGACCATACATGCCAAATGCATGATTACAATTTAATATCCGGAATGCAATGTCCTTATAAAGAGAACCGAAATCAAAATTAGTGAATATTTTCCTATTGTCCAAGCAGCTGTTAAATAAGAATTCTAATGTTTATTTTCTGTGAGGTCAAGCTTAAATGTTTGTAAGACCTATGATAATCGAACGAAATGGGTTTCTTTTAGATATAACTTATCGCCATTCCCAATATTGTATTAGGCTTAATTACGCTGCGGCATGTCAGCTGCCAATTTTACCAATTGGGCTTGTGCCAGTGTGCGCAAGGATTGCACAAACTTGGTAAAAACATAGCGCTAAAACTTTACCTCGTAAAACACGCAATTTGTAGACCGTGTCTTTCATTGCTTATGCTCTAGTTTAATATCCAGAAAGCTTATATATATAGTTAAATGGTATAATATCGATTATAATTTCTGGTTTGTTATATTTGTCACATGATCCTGATTATTTTGAACAATTAGTATGGCTTGTGTTTTGTGCCTATCAAAGTTTAGCTACGCTAAATTTCAGTGAGGAATATTGTGATGTTCATTGGGCGACTTCCTTGTGGTTCTATTTTTTTCATTACTTTCATACAATCTATATCATTTGTACAATTTGAGCTTTTCCGCGTTCCACGTTTCCGATTCGAGGAGCTAGTCGAGGGAAATCAAATTATAACCAAACATAAGATGCCTGATTATAAATGTGCTTCAGTGCTTGGTGCATCTGACTTTGCCGAAAGTTGCGAAGTGTTTTATTCGGATCGCCCTCGGCCGGTGAACATCGGCGTCCACGATCAAGCGCTTCAAAAGATCTATGTCTGTTGTTGATACAATTATTGCGATATAGTTTAATAGTTATTTACATTTATTTCATTGTTTACACAACTATATAAGGGTTTTAATCATTGCATACTATAGATATGCAGTTATCCGCGGTTTTGCTCCTATACTATCAGGCTGCTTCGTATCTATCCTAATGACTATTTAAACGACTTCCAACAACCACACAACAACTATGCAATTCTACGTAATGCTGCTTTTAAGGTATATATGGCTAGAGACGTTGCATGTTTGTGCGCGCGTTGAACTTTGGCTTTATGGAAACAACAAAAGTATTAAAGCATAGATTCTAACCATTGCATTGCCGCGGCATTAAAAAAACAATCAATTTTTGAAAGAAAGCTTTTTCAGTTTATGACTTGAAATTTGACCTTAATTAATGACATAATTGCATGCACTGAACGCTAAGAGAAATCTTGAAGCGCACGAAATAGCATTCGATTCGGCTAAAATGATGTAACCCCTCTACAAGCCTTCTGTTAAGGAACTGAATACGTTTCTAGGAATATTATGTGTTACACATTCGTCGCTTCTTCTATAAAGTTGTAACATTGCAAATGTTTAATCTAATGTTCTACCAAATCCAATGCGATTGAACAAAATTCCAGCAAACGTTCCAACGAACGGTAAATCAAAACGGTTGAACGCTTTTGGAACGATTTTCGAACTTTTTTTCTCGAGGCGTTCAAACGGGCAATTTCGAACAATGAACGATCTCGAAAATCGTTTCAACGAACGCAAGAACGCTTGAAGTGTTTAATTGAACGGGAAACGAATGAATAATGAACAATATTTTTCAAGGAACCAAATAGCGTTAACGTATGTTTATGTGTGGAAGGCCACACATAAACAACAAAGTAAATTGCTTCGCACGAGTGGCAAATCACAACTGTATGACTGTTACTGGTCTGCTTGCTTCTACTACCTATAATTAACTTCGTTGACTAGGTACATATGACATTGATCAAGTAGCTATTTATGTGTAGCTGTCAACGGAGCGTAATTAGCCCTAAAGCTGTTGGACTGCATGTATAATAACATATGTCTGCAGTCAGTGCAGTGGCATGACTGTGGCCATGTTCTTCAGGTATATTTTGCTATTGTTTTTACAATTTTACTCCATTTTATGATTTTAATATTATCCATGCTGTACTGGAATAACGAAGCAATAAAGAGTAGTGTACGTGCGGATAGCGATCGAAGCTCTCGCTCCCTCATAGCTGAACATAAACAACGTATATAATGTTACACCCGCTACTTGCGTTTACCTGTTAATCATTTCCCCCCTCCCGGTATATCAAACATGCCCATGCAACAGACAGTTGACATATTTTACCGTTGTTTGATTTAAACACCAGTATCATGGTCTGCGATCAAAGGATTCCCCAAATCGTCTGGTTTCGTCCGTGAAATTGGGTATATAAATTCGTCAAACCGTTTATACGGATGAATAGGCCCATCCAAAAAAACGGTTCATTTTTCTGTGCGTTTAAACGGTTATTCGTATCCGTGCAAACGCTTTCACCAAAGCGTAAAAACGCTTTCTTGAAAGCGTTAAATTTTTTCATCGAACCGTTTTAACGTTTTAACGAAGCGTGAAAACGCCTTACGGCATCCGTTTACTAACCGTTTGTAATCCGTTTTTTTGCCCATTTAAACGGAAAAGCGTTAATGTTGGTTTTCCCGTGGAGGGTCACATATTATAGCTAATGTTTCCATCATTCCATACAAAAATAATCATAAAGCTAGTGTAAACATTGCCCGTTCAATTTTGCTGCATTATACCATGCCAGCAATTAAGTAACGGTTTAAAATCGAAGTTTCAAACGATTAAAACAGTACAAAATCTTCACAGACAAAGAAAAAACTTCAAATGTTATTTTATTCTGTACATAATTGCAGTCGACCCCGGCGAGTGTGTCTAATGGTCGCGGGTCGCGGGTCGCGGGTAAAAGGTGCGGGTGCGGGTAAAAGGTGCGGGTGCGGGTAAAAGGTGCGGGTGCGGGTAAAAAGTGCGGGTGCGGGTAAAAAGTGCAGGTGCGAAATCCAACAACCGGACAGCCAGACTTTTCTGTAGATTTTCAAAATACATACTACCATCTGAATATTGCTCACGTACGTCGGAAAAACCCAATGTTCAATGGCAACGTTAATGTTTCGTTGGATCTGTATAGCTCGTTAAATGAGGAACAACATAACACGATTACTTTCGGGCGAAATTCTTCTTAATCTCGTTTAAACTTGTTTTGGACTAAAATAATACTATCGAGGTCTGTGGGGTAGGACACGGTCCCTTTTTCCCATGTCTTAAAGACGTAAACAAATGTGTGGTCTGCACTAGTTAGTTTGAAGGCTTTTCTTAGTAGAAAATACCAAACTCGGGATTTAGAGCAATTTATATCAACGGCAAAATCATTCAACCTCGTGAGGTTGTCTTCGTGGTAAAAACTGTTCATTTTGTGAGTTACATGAGCAGAAGGGACTGTAACCTTTGTCGTTATTTCTATTAGGGTTTCTTGTTGGTTATGGAGTTTTTTATAAAGTTGATGTTTATGTATTTAAGATTTATAAAGCTTTATGTATACTGGACAATAAATATGACAGTTCACGTGCATGTTGGTAGTAAACGAATGGTCAGACTCAGATCATGACAACCGCACTTTTTCCCGTACCCGAACCTTTTACCCGCACCCGCACTTTTTACCCGCACCCGCACTTTTTACCCGCACCCGCACCTTTTACCCGCGACCCGCGACCCGCGACCATTAGACACACTCGACCCCGGCGGCTAAAAGTTTTATACTTTATAAATATAGTGTGTATTTTTGATACCAAAATTCAAATTACACTTTCAAAAACACTTTTTGAAGTTAAAGCAAAGGTGTAATAGCCTTTCACAGGTTTATGCGTTTGCATAAAAAGCTGAAAATTTAGCAAATAAACGGCATACAAAGCTGAAAAGTATACAAATACGGCTCATTCTTATCGCGAAACAAATACGAAAAAAAAAAAGTAAACGCGTACCCTTTGTCTTTAAAAACATTTATAAGTTTGCAGATTATGAATTATTCCTCTTACACGGCTTTATCTTGACCGTATCCACGTTCATCTATGCTAACTGTCATGCTTCATATATCTTGTTTCTCCTCGTTTTACTTTCTTTGCACAAAGTTTATGAAACGCTTTTACAAAAATGTTTACGAAATGACAGTTAATATAAATTGCTGACGTTCTCATTGAAATACAAACTTTCTGTCTTAGCCAATCAGAACGTTCGTTGATTACCAGACGTTACTCGCGCATGCGACTGAATAACTTACAAAACCACCCAACGTCGACCGTCTATGACAAAGAATTTGGACAACTTTGGATTCGCCTATGTTCTACCGGGTTCCTGGTGTAATTCCTAATCTCCGAGCGGAATTAGTACCCTCGCAGGCGCTCCGCACCCGTTCGGGGATTAAGAAATCTCATCCCAAAACGCATAAAATGGCATTTGCTGCACAGTAAAACTTCCAACTTTTCTTCCAGGAGGATGCTCCCAAATCCCCCTAAAAGCGCTCTATCCCCCAAAATGTACCCTTCCTAAATACATGAATTTACTATGGCGTTATAGAAAGTTCTATACAATTATCTGACCTTCAGTTGAGGTAAGCTAAGCTATCATTAAAAAAATTATACGTTGTGAAAGTAATCTTACCTTTGCAAGTTTTCATTCCGTCCCCTTCAAATCCTTTTTTACAAGCACAATAGTATGAGCCAACAGTGTTGAAACATTTTGCTTGAGAATGACACCGTTGAGCAGCCGTAGACGCACATTCATCTAAATCTGATATTTCCGAGTTAAACAGAAAGTTATTATTATCTCTGCATGTGAACTACTGGTGGTGCAAACCATGAAGTTTTTAATTCCAATGTAAGTTATGAAATGAAGTTTGCCTTTTGAGTTAAGAAAATAAAACACCTTACCGTTGCATCTCCTAATTCCATCCCCCATAAATCCATTATTACAAGCACACGAGTATGAGCCAACACTGTTGATACATTTCGCTTGAGCATGGCATTTAGTTGCCGACGCACATTCATCCAAATCTATGTAATTCAAATACGAACTATGTTAATTCTTAAGGATTGGCTTTGCGATTGACAGGAGTGGTACACACGCGAGATACACACGCCGGAACAGGCTTTTGATTGTCCCACAATTTTCATTAAATTTTGCCCAATACAAGTTGATAAACTACACACAATTGCAGAATATTATGGAGCTCCTCCTACTCACATGCATTGAAAATGCAAAACAGCAGAGAAAGCACGACTTTCCAAAAATAAATTATATATTCGAAATTTATTTAAGCCGGCTGCACAAAAGAGCTATCTGCTGAGCTAAAAGTCACTCGCGTGAACATTAGCGTATAAGAAAGTTCCTCCAGTGTGCGACGACGTTTTGCGCGGACTTTTGCTCACCAGCGTACCATCTGGACGGAATAATTTTATTCAACACGTTGAGAAATTCGGTGCACGAGCTAGTGTATACTTGAAGAAAGCAAACTCCTGCAGGAAAAATGTGCAAATTTGTAAACATATGCAAATTTTTATATGCATGCATATTAGCTTGTTATGGAAGAAATTTGCTCTCTTCGCCCGCACACGTGTACAACTATGCTCTTGTGCACCAGATTTTTCCACATGTTGACTAATATTCGGTGCAAATGGCACGCGTGAACAAAAGCTGACAAAAGTCGCCGCACGATAGGAGAACTTTCTACGCTAATGTTCACGAGTGACTTTTGGCTCAGCAGATAGCTCTCGTGTGCGGCTGGCTTAAGTTAACCTGTTTCACAGATGAAAGATCTTCTATTATAGCATGGACTGTCATTCCATCGTCCTTTGGAAGAAAACGTTAACTCAGCACAATTTTCATTTCGTTGGAAATTATCGGGTTGGCCAGGTATCCAGTTGGTATAGACTGCTGTTTTATCATCGGGATAACACCATTGGTTACCACATCTTTTCAAACCAATCCATGGATATTCTCGAGGATTTGGAAAATTGTTTTGGAGGAACCTGTTAAGTTCAAATCCTGTAATTCTGGCAAGCTGACCGCCTTGGTTTTGACCCCCTAGCTCTCGACATTCATCATTCGCACTTTGGAAGTTCCTCTTATTACCAATGAAGATGTAACAGAAAGAATTGAATCCTCTCCAGTTTAGCCGACAACCTGTGAAGAAAGAAATATTTTTGCACCGAAATCTCTGAGCATGCTATAAGAGCATATTTTTATGAGCTAACGCCCATTTCAGACGTCGTAAAGTTCGATGTCTGAAACAGGCCTAAAGCAGAGTTCACTTAAGGGCGGCGCACACTAGAACTATGTGCTTAGCAAAAAGTCATTCGTGGCCATTGGCGTAAGCCAGTTGCTCTAGTGTGCGGGCGACTTTTTCGGCGACTTTGGTCATTCGTGCCACTAACGGCAAATATCTAGCATGTTTGATAATTTCTGCCTCGCGTGCCGAAATCTTTCCGTGTGCGGCAAACTGAAAGCTATCTGCTTATGGATTGTCTTAACAGCGCAAGCGTAATATAAGTAAACATATAAACACCTGTATTCTGGCCAAAGATCAAGCAGTTTGTTTTCCAATATGGCCTCAGCCACCAATTCGTTTTGCTTGGTTTGCACTGCTATCTTGGATGCTTACTTTCGTATATTACGCATGCGCTGTTAAGACAATCCATAAACAAATAGTTTTCAGTTTGCCGCACACGGAAAGATTTCGGCACGCGAGGCAGAAATTATCAAACATGCTAGATATTTGCCGTAAGTGGCACGAATGACCAAAGTCGCCCGAATCGGCTTACGCCAATGGCCACGAATGACTTTTTGCTAATTAAGCACATAGCTCTAGTGTGCGCCGGCCTTTAGCTAGCTTGTCGTCGGCTTTATCGCTCCCTTCGACTTTTTAGCTGAATTCATATAAAGGGCGGGAAACTCATCAAGTACGTTATTACGCTAGTCATTTGTTTATTTGATATTTAGCCTTGTTCCGCCCATGACTGCATGTGTTGATATTTGAGAGACTCCTCTGATTTATCTGATTTATTCGACGAATTTAGACATTTTTTTTTTTAGACATTTATTCACATTCACACGTTTCCACAATAGATTACAAAGATATTTACAATAGTTATAAGTTGAAATAAAACTAAGGAGAAGTTAATATATATAAAGGTGTTAATCGTGCGCAGTGGCCAAAGTAGCTACATGCTTTCGAGTTGGTCACTGCCTACATTTAATTACTATTTAAAATTTGGACGGTAGGTAATTGAATAGATAATTAAATCTCCACATAAGTAGAAATTACTATTTAATCTATTTACAATTGTGTTTGCGAAATAATAATTGACTATATGCTTTCTTAAATAAAGAAATTGATTTGGATTGTTTAATTCTATTATCGACGGACTCCCAGAGTTTAGACGCAGTAAATGGAAATGTTTGTGTACCATAATTAGTTCGCGCATTTGGTCTGGAAAAGTTATACATTGTGAAGCAAATCTGGTATTATATGAGTGCCGAAATGATGCAAGGGTAATAGTGTCAGAAAATATTATAGGTAATTTGGCTTTTTCGTTAAAAACTTTATAAGTGAATTGAGCTAATTTGAGTTTGAAAACACTATCTAATTTTAGAATACTTAATAGGCTGTAATACGGTGAAGCATCCTCTCTTTTGCCTGCAAAGAATATGCTTCTAATGCATTTATTTTGACATGTTCTCAATTTCTTCAGTTTTGAGGTATAAGCATTTCCCCAACTCATCAAGCCATAATTAATATAGGGATAGATGAGAGTAAAATATAGTTGCTTTAGCATCTTTAAATCAATATAATATCTAAGTTTATTAATAATTCCAGTATTCTTGGCAATTTTATTATTCACATGGCTAATCTGTTGATCCCATGTTAAATTTTTATCAATATATATACCTAAATATTTAATATGGTTTTTTTGTTTAATGTTTCTGATAAGTTGTATTTTGCGTTCACGTCTCGTACTAGAAGTTATTACCATGAAATTAGTTTTATTTATATTAACTGATAATTTATTAGCATCGCAGTATTGAAATATATGATTTAGTTCTTCATTCATCACTTTTTCAACATCATCAATGCTCGTGTTTGAGTAAAATACATTGGAATCATCGGCAAATATTCGAAATGTAAGTTTACTTGAACAATTTGGCATATCATTTATATATAGTATAAAAAGGAGTGGTCCAAGAGTTGATCCCTGAGGAACGCCACAGGTCATAGTTAAGTTATCAGATTCAGTGTTTCCTATTTTGACATTATGTTGTCTATTATTTAAATAATTACTGAACCATGTCAAGGGAGTACCACGTATGCCATATTTATATAGTTTCGCCAAAAGAATTTTGTAATCAACCGTATCAAATGCTTTAGAAAAGTCTAAAAACAAACCACAGGTTATTTTCTTATTATCAATTGCTAGCTTTAGTCTATCTGTAATTTCCAGAATGGCTTGCTCTGTGGAGTAGCCTTTTCTAAATCCAAATTGATAGTCAAAAATTAGTTTGTTTTTAGTAAGAAAACCTTCTAGCTGTTCATATATTAAACGTTCTAGCACCTTTGCAAATGGTGATAGTATCGATATTGGTCGATAATTGTTTGGGTCAGTTTCTATGCCGTTCTTGTAAATTGGTGTAATACGCGAGATTTTTAGAACATTTGGGACAACACCAGTATTTATTGATTCATTATAAATAGAAGTGAAAATTGGAGCTATAATAGATGATGAGATTTTAATAATGGTATTAGGGATGCTGATGGAAGACTTATCTCCATCGAGTGAGAGAAACAATTGTCTTACTTGTGATTCAGTCACAGATGACATGACAAAACTTGTTACAGGCGAATTATGTATGTATGCTGTTGGGCTGGTAAGAGGTATATTTAATTTGTTTGCCAAATTAGCGCCAACATTAGCAAAGTGTTGATTAGATTGATTAGCTATTTCATATTTATCAGTGTATATATTTCCATTTCTTATTAATCGCGTAGGAAACAGCTGCCCTTTCGGCTGACGTCTGATTAGATTGCCAATTAGCTTCCATGTTGCTTTCAAGTTGGTTTTATATTTTTCAAACTGGTCATTATAATATTTAGTTTTACTTATAGCTTTAATTTTATTCAATCTATTGGCATACTGCTTATACTGCATAACTTTCCTCGCATCGTTGCTAAAAAAATGTGAGCGATACATTCGCTGCTTAATTTTAATTGATTTTAGAATACCATTACTTATCCACGGTTTATCAAATTGTTTAGTCTTACTACGGGGGACTTTCTTTATCGGTGCATGCTTTTGTGTTACTTCTTCCAATGTATCAAATACATTCTTTGTGGTCTGGTGTAGATTATTGCCTAACTCTCGAAGTTTTTCATTCCAGTCAATTTGTGATAAATCACTAATATATTCATCTTTGTTAAAAGACTTGTAGTCACGATAGCAAGACGAGCTTCTCGTCCAGATGGGATTCCCGACCAACTTACTCCTCTGTTTAGACGGGAAGGTTTCACGGGAGAATTCGGACGAGAAACGCGTCTGTTGCAGAGTTGAAAGCTAGGTAAATATTTGAGAATGGTCATTCATATTAGTGCTATCTAGACAACAAAGAAAACCAAAGTCCAACGCAAAGAAAACAAAGAACTAGTGTGATTTTGTTTCGCCTCGAATATGCAGCTTTATTATATTGATGAGAGTATTTTTTCCGGGAACTAAACACTCCTAGAACTCATACGCCACTACATCCTGGGTACAGTGCGGATATTTTCTGTATGCCACGTTTATCCCACCATTTTCATTGTTGTTGTTTTGAAAATACAAATGGTGTTTGGTTTGTATATAAATAGAAATTAACGTTAGGAATACAAATTAAAAGACTTAAAAGTAATCTCTAGATAAGTAAAATATATTCTACCTCAAAATTTAGGCTATGATTTAAAAAATATTCGCTTTATATTAATGGTCCTTCGCGGCGTCTTATGCTTGTTACCTTTGTGTGTATTTATGTCATCCTGATGCTCGGTTGCACGGTTAGCTCGAAGATATGGATTTTATGTCCTGGTGTCAAAAACAGTATCTCAGAGATATTGTTTATGCCACTCTGAACATAAAATCCATGCATACCTTACTCGCAACCGTGTAGCCTTTAGAAATTAATCTATATATTGTTATAATTTAAGCGTGTTATAATTTTAACTATGCTAAACCTATGGATGTGTAAAGTATTATCGTAGCTTTGTGCATAGATTACATAATAATATCTTTGTTAGCATTTAAATATTGTTATCCATATATATTTTTGTAAATTGTAAATATGGGTAATAAATGTAATTAATTTTTGGGTAAAAGCGAATTTTTATTTCATTTGTCGCTACTCAAAGTGTCACGATAAATAAATTCGCTTGAAGACATGTTTTAATTGATTTCATTCGCTACTAAATACGAACGCGCGGCGGTATTGGACAGTCCTTCGTCGTAAATAGCAAAAACAATTTGTGAAGATATATATTTAGAATTTAAATGTAACTGTTATATACAACCATAGAAAATACCTCAATATTTACCTTTGCAAATCCACCATTGAGAAGAAAGAAAAAGTGTAATGATGGAAAGAATTATTCTGAAACGCATTTTTCATGTCATGTGATGCTTCTTTGATGTCGCTGCTCTGTCTACTCCAACGGTCTCAACCTGAACGCAAGATACTGAACTTCGGTATACTGGTTACGATTGCATGCATGTGAATGTAGCAGCGTCGAGAACACGACCTTTGAGACACTACCTGTTCCAAATTACCAAAATATGGGGATCAAAGATTATTGTACTCCTGCACTGCATGTAGAATATAGTGCAATGATTGCTCACCCGCATAATTATGCAAGAACTATGTATTAATGTGTGTGTTTGTGTCAGCAGTATAAACTTCTCGTAAAAAGGCCCACACAGACAGGACGCAATTGGTAACGCGGTGTATAATAAAATGTTAATCTATGCTAATATTCTTGTAGATTTCTTAACGATAATGACATTTTGACCGCTGTGATTCCAAATTTTGTTTCCGTCATGCAGAATTTAATTTATATTCCCATATGATGCTTCGCGTCCTGTCTTGTTTGGGCCTAGCTTAAGTCGCTTACGATTCGGACGAAGATTGAGTATTCATGAATATTGCGTTTTTTTTAAGACCCTGCAGGAGACGAACTATCTTTCGTTTGCCTATATGTTCCTCTAAACAGTGTAAATCGGGGCAATGTTAATTATTAGCCACGTGCCGTTGCGATATATCGGGCAGGATATGGTAGATTTGGTACGAAAATCAACTTGTAAACTTTGGTCGATTATCAATGTCAATATCGATATTATAATATTAGTATACAATAAAGCTATTAAATGTAAATAAGCTGTTTAGCGATGCCTAACTATATTTCGGTTCATGTTTGGTGAATTCTAAATACAGTCTGTAATATACAATGAGAATTTGTGAAGAGAAGTGATATGAAACCATTCGCTCACGTAATAATACCGATATATATACCTTGATGGCTGATAATTACAGCTCATATAAAATATTATAATTATTACGATACCGGATAGCTAATAATTATACTTATATACGACACAAACCCATGGACCATGGTATAATTATTATTACAAAATCACCTACAAGCGGAAAATATAAGTTGCATGCTTATTAGCAGTTAAATGGTTATGACTTCATGAAGAATACAAAACGAATGAAGTCAAGTCTGTCTTTCCTGATCATACACATGCATGTAGAGATTCATTTACATTGATGTTTTGTCCAATATAGTTTTAGTACTTAATATATGTGGCAATATTATTGCGTTTAGTGTAATAACAGCGTACTTACCAGTTCAAGCTTTTTTTATTTAGATTTCTAAATACGTTGGTTTTACCGAGTCTCGATCCACATATTATAATAATTATAGCGTCCGTCAAGCACAGGAAGGGTCTCTTTCTTTTCCATAAGAACTAAGGTATTGTCGAAATCGACAGAACGTGTACGTGGGAGACAATTTGTTATTGTTTCTGAAATTATTATTCAACTCCGCCTACGATGTGGACACAAAGCAACTGATATTCCGACGTTAAAAGATTACAGAAGGACTTCCGCAAATAATAAGGAGTGGCACAGCCATGTAATGTCCTTGTTTGTTTTGAAAAGACATGCAATAAATAAACTGTAGTTTCAGTCCTTTGACTTCACTTTAGAGCATGTTGTTTGCATTGCAAACATTGAATGAGTGAGGTATTATAGGGGATGTAACGAAGTACGAACTTACTCTGTTCATTAATATATTTTACTTCATTACCTAAAAGATGAGACGGACCAGAATCTCGCATTAAACGAATAGAAAAGAATAACTTGGAATACTGAAGTATTGATATATAATGATCGCACATCTGAGAATTGTCAGAAAGCTTTGTCATATATTTCAAAAAAATCCTCATTAGGTCGATAATAGGAATCTATATCTACACTACAATGACCACGGGCCTCAAGGCAATATAAGACTCCACCATACTTCGGCTATAGTGGAATTTAAAAGATACAGGAAATCAGATTACCTTTCGACTAAATGAAAAGGCATTTTTCATCATTTTTTACTTTTTGACAAACCCTAGCTAACTCAAATTTTTTTGCAAAATTCATATCCCTGCATTACTTTTACTAGAAATACATGCATGCAGCAACCCCTCGCCATTTTAAATTAAGAAAAATATTTTGTGCACTACCCAGACCTAACTTTCTACGTTAATATCATAACTCGTGCAAATTTTTCGGAAACAAAGACAGTTGTAAAAGTGAACAGAAATCACATGTTTGCCTGCTGCATTACGTTGCAGTTTAATGATTTTAGCAACTATATAAGCTGCAAAGTGATATTTGTTTTATCAAAACTCTGAAGTACACTTTTGAGAACTCTTTTTAAAGTTAAGGTGATGATGTAAAGCCTTCAATGGTCGGTTAGCTCTTTGTAAAACGAACAAGCAAACACTGAATCAGCAAACACTGAATCAGCAAAATATAGACACCTACAACTTCAAAGATTATAAACTACGAGTCGTTCCTATTTCACCAACTGTTTCTGTGCTGTGATGATCTTTAAATCTTTTATTATTGTTTTAATATTTGACTCCATATTTCATTTTATATTTTTAAAAAATACCATAAAAAATACTATAATAGTTTGCAAAATGACGGTTAAAAATCAATGCTGACGCTCTTATGCATGCTTTCTTTTTGTCTTTGCCAATGAGGAAGTTGTAGACGACCGTTCTTTCTTCGTTCAAATTTCGCACATGTGCACAACTACCATGATCATTGAACGTTCATGACATTTGGGCAACTTTGGATTCGCCTATTCCTAATATCCGGGCGGGATTAGTACCCTCGCATGCACGGCGCTTCGCGCCGGCTCGGGGATTAAATTCATGTCTATTATAAAAATTTTTCAATCAAGACAATGCAGTTAGCATCCATCAACATCAACTAGCGACTGATTGAGGATTTCCAACCGGTTTCTTCAAAGTCTATTTCCAAAATCAAACGACATCCGTTTTGAGACGTTATAACCTGTGGGGCAACAGAAATAGTGCAAATGGAATGGAAAGCCGGGAGATCAAGCTAATGGACTAAATCAGGAAAGAATAGCTTCTTATTTACACCAATAATCCCACTTTTGAGACGTCTTACAGATTCCGTCCCATCTTATTGCGAGCTTCAAGGATTCCAGTGCTACCATACGTGGAGTGGTAGTGAATAAGGCCACGCTTGCGCCTTTTGCTATGTCCACAAACACTTCGCTCGTCTCAAATTTATCTTACACTAATAAAACACTGCATGTTGTGTTGAAAGGTCTGTTTTATTATTGTACCATGATATCCTAAACTCTCCTACTATCATATGATGATGTCCATTACTCCTTTTTGGTCTGGCTTAGAGCTTCTTTCGTGTTTTCGGCACGTGCATTGATAAAGTTGAATAATTGAAAAGCTTCAAGCGATAACATTCAAATTCTTATAGAGAGCTTGAAGTATATTGTAATCAATAAAATTAGTTGCATAATGTGTGTGATAGTATGTTTGCAGGTATAAACACGTGTGTTATATTATTGTATTTATTACCTGGAATAATTTTTATGTCAAGTAATTTCTATCTCTACGCGTAGTATTTAACTGACTTGACTTATAGAAAGTGGAAACCAACATGACAACAGATTTCGAGTGCCAACTCTGTTGTTGTTAACAACTGCTAGGCTGTGTGTGTAATAAAAAGTTAAAACAAAGTCATGTATTACAACAAAGTCATGTATTACAACAAAGTGTGTGTGTTAAAGATATTGAAATCAAGAGAGAGGAGACGGACAATATTGGTCCTATTTTTTATTAATACTTCACTAAATTAAACATGTATTACAAAGCGTGTTTTCTTTACATAGCACATCACTAATATACGAAGACTTAAAACTATTATATCTAAAACCGGTTACAAAGTAGGTGCGTTTAAGATCTTGACATTTAAATTTATAGAACAGTGCAGGTTTAATGTTAATTTGGCATACTTTAGTATAAATTGTTCATGTCTTTTTACAGTTTGGTATTGTGTTTGAGTAATGTTTAAGACTGATCAGTAAAACATGCATTAATGCGAGTAAGTGTTTCTAAGTTATCGTGTATATATTTTTTTGTTCTATTATATAAACTTAACCCACTAACTTTGGTAGAGAGTTGAATAAAGCTTATGAGATCGACGAACTAATATAGTAATACATAAAAATGCCTGAGTTCAGAGCGCTTAAATTCAAGTTACGTTCGTCCAAAAACTAAAATTATTCTGCTGACAAATCATAGGCAGTGTTCCTAATATTTTCATTTTAAGCTGTCAAACTGTGCATATATATTTCAAGGATCGATTTAACTTGAAGATATTTCATGAGCCCTTATAGAAACAGCATGAAGGCATACACAATTGTCCTTGAGAACTTCATTGCACATTTCAGAGCTGAGGCATATAGCCAGAGCATGCTGCCCTTGTAGAAACAAGGTTTGGAAAAAAAATACGACAAGAAATTGACTTTATATTTTTGAGGCTGAGGCATATAGCCAAAGCAACAATTTGTCAAAACCAAGTGCAGCATCAATTGTAAATATTTTTTTTTGAAAAAATTTAGTCAACATCTTTTGAACCATGCAAGGGATATTCCCGAAGCAAGCTGCCCTTATAGAAAGAGCACCAAGAGTACAGAGAAACTGGACTAATACTTTCAAAGCCGAGGCATATAGCCAAAGCAAGCTGCTCTTATAGAAACAGCCACAGGAGTACACTTTTTTCTTTGAAAATCGGGTTTAAAAACTTTTAGAGCTAAGGCATATAGCCAAAGCAAGCTGCTCTTATAGAAACAGCAATAAAAATAACACTGCAACGTTATTAGATATCCCAAGACACCTGCTAACACTTCAAACCACATAGCAAAGTCAAACAGTACAGACAAAAAGTGGCGCCTTACTTTTCATAAGCACTGCTCGACGAAGCTAAATGATTGGAAATCTCACAGAGACCTTGGAAAAATAATAAAGTTACAATGCCACTGCCAATGTTTGTCTCGTAATTGTTTCTAATTATAGTAGAAATAAGGCACATATCGTTTTAAGATAACAGCATGCACCCCCCCACCCATTCCTTATTTTCTTCAAGTAAATTCAAATTTATTAATTGAGAGCATGTGTGTGTGTTAACTTTGATTGCATAAATTAATGTATTTCAGAATAGGAAGAAAATATAAGACATGCCGTAAAATCAATGTTTCTGGCTTGAATATT